CAGCAGAATAAAAACACAATGATGAAATTTTAAAGAATGTTCTGCAGTCTAATAGTAGCCGTATAGTCCCAGTAAATACAAAGCTAAAGACGTTTCTTTAAATCCGTCCGATGTTCGTCAGTTTTAAGCAAAAACGATTATGAAGCGAAACAAGGGACTTAATTAGTATCTGTTTTTCTTTCTACCGCCTTCGAATACTGATCAACAGTTTCCTTTATAAAGGCATAATATTTCTGCTGACCTTTCATTGTAAATACCGGAGTTAGATACTGTTTTCCCGTGTTTCTTTTACTTTGTGTATAAAAACAACGACGGAGTCCGTGCAAAAGAATAGCAGATCAGATATTTTGTTTCATTCTTATTTTAAACAGCCAATTTAATGAATGCCTTGTACCAGGCAGAGACTTGAGAACATCAAAATTAATTTGTTCTATAACTCCTATGCCTGTTGCATGTTGTCCACCTTATGGACGTTGAGTGCATGAACTATGAGACTACTGAAATCACGCGCGAGCACCTTTGCTTCCAGATCCAGAATGGCCATGACCCTCTAGAACATGTGCAGCGCCCGTGTTGGCTGTCGGAGCAGGTTAAGCGCCCGCTCAGGGGCGCCTTAGAGGGCCATGGATCGCACGATCCCCGCGTAGGAGGCGGTTGGCTCCCGAAGGTTGGGTAGGAGGCGCTTAAGCGCCGCCCCTGTCCGTTCGTTATAATTTAGAAATACTTAAAAATATTTCTTTAAAGATTATACAAAAATGTTTTGTACTGATCAAGGGTAGGTACTGTAAAAATAATTATCATTTTTCATAAAAATTATCTCGACATTCCTATAAAAACAGGACCCTTTCGTGACAAATATTTTTAATTCCACGCGCGCTCAGACACTGAATTACTTTAGCAAATTTTACTAAAAAATGTTAAAACATAAATATATACCTGTCGAGTGACGATACCTACTATTATTTAATTATTTAAAAGAACAAATAACAGCTCGTAAAATATTATATTGTATATTGATCTTTATACTTGTAATTTAAAAAGTCAAGATTTGACCCTTGACACCACAGTTGGCAGTGCAAATATTCTATAGGTCACGCCGGCGCAAGTTGTAAATATTTCCGTAAATGCATACATTAACAAGATCATAGATCATTTGGGGACAGTAAAACATTATTGCTTAATATTAATTTAGGAAAATCGGTAAGTGCAGTGGACTGGGAAACTTTATGACTTTTTGTGGGTTTCATTCCCGATGTGTATACTTATTATTTACGATTTGTAAAGTTTTTTTTTGTGTTTGACCTAAGAATTATTGTACAGGATTGACGTGTGATATTTACCGTATATACCTAAACGCACGAGAGGCTTTTCTAAAGATGATAAAAATAACTAATTATACAATCATTTTTTGTCACGCATTACATTAAAACTTACAGCGTATTTTTACAAAATAATCCTTCATTTAATTTATAAATAACGAGCAGGAAAGTTGCACTTAACCCGAGTTAGACGACATCGCTGGAGCCCTCTTTTGTTCTATCCAGAATTCCTAGGCGACCTAATTGGACCGAGGATGTTGTTGACCAATTACGGCTACGAGAAACGAAAGAAATTCTGAACTGAGTAGGCACTTAAGTATTATATTTATATTTCTCATTGTTGGTTTTTTCAAGCAAGTATGATATTTTGAAAATAAAATTAAAGAAAATACTCACGCTTATGATGACATTGCGGACGATGTTAGGCACCACAAGGAAGCCGACGATACAGCTGCCGATCACAAGGATGGCGCCTATCACCAGCGTGGACACGCTACCGATCACACCACACATTTTCACAATCACAGTTCCAATGAAACAATGTTAATTATTGAAAATGTGTTAATTACTGCCCGGCCGCTAATACCACGCGCTTGTGATTGCGATTAGTGTTGACATTGTGCACCATATATTTTCATTGATAACGGTATCCAAGATTTATACACAGGTCCGTAGATAAAACCTTATCAAATGAATTACACGAATTATTTAAGAAATGTTGTCGGTTAGTTTCTTTCTTATACACTGATTTTTGTATTAGTTATCGTGTAAACAAGACGCCTACGTAAGAAGACGATTCTGTAACAATAATGATTGATCAAATTATCAGAGTTAGAAAATGTTTGCGATATTTTCGACTCTTATATCAACGAATCAACAAGTAAGAAAATAAGCCACAAGAAGAATATTGGCTAGGGTATTGATATATGGGCGGGAGTAGGCGTTAGTGTTGTTCCACGCGCGCCACTCGAGGAAGAAAATCAGCCTGCTTTGTGGTGGGACCTGCCGCAATATAGTGGTAGGTCGAGACCTGCCGGGTGCGGTGATTCCGCAAGGGCGTCCCGGGTCACGGCCATAGGCAAAGCAGGAACATCGCGGTGGTTTTAGCCGGTAAGAGTCCGACACACCCCCCGTTGCTCTACGACGTGGGAAGTCCATGAGGATTTCATTTGCGTTATAAAAAAAAGTCCTTCGGCGCTGAAATGACACGAGGCTTGCTTTCATTCTAGTCGGGTCTTAAAGGGAGAATCGCCAAAGCCTTAGTAAGATAGATAGTGAATTATAATTATTTAAAGACCTCGATGTTTCATGGTCATCACAGTCTTATTATAATTGTTTCTTGAAGGTTATTGTAATTTCATATTCTGAGGTTTTCAGATATAATTATTTGTGATAAAGTTTTTAGTTTACAATGCTTCGGGCCAAACGTGTCGGTGTTCACAGAAATTGTCAAAATAATGTAACACTAATCGTTAGTGTTACATTATTTTGACGAGCTTTTGCATCGATTTCGTCTGTATATTCTTCGTCTGAATAGTTGCGTATTGGGCAAACTATTATATTCCGATTCTTTAGTCTAAATAATGACTGACTTGGTTTGTTTCCCATACTTTCAGCCATGATAGTTACTATTTATTTTCCGCCATGATCGTCCCACTGCAGCGCAAAGGCCTCCCTATCCTTCTATAAAAGAGTTATGTTTCTTTAAACTGGTATGGTACAATTAATGTTTTCTCTTTAAAGTTTTCCCTAAAAAATCGCGGAGACTACAGTTGTAGATGACACTAACTTTCATCATCCATACAAAGCTGTCACCACTAAACCAGCCTAACTGGACCTCTACTACTTTAACATAAGCAGCATCAATCGATAAATGAATATTAATTAATTAGATCAATTTGGGTATCTTCACAGTTGGTTGTGGAGTTGCTCTCGAGACCATCTCGAGTCATCTCGACTGAGGGCCTTCTCTAATCAGTTCTCGTTCATCAAGTGGTCTACGGTGAATAGATCACTTCAGCCCATTGCAGCTTGCATTGTTCAACTCATCGAAATACAACCAAAGGCTATCAAGCCTCTCTTTACTAATGAATGGGGGAATAACGATGGTAGGTAATAATACCTTCATTGTTTGAATAGCAAAAAGTCTACGGTCATTGTTTTTAGGTTAGGTGCAGTTTTATTTTGGAATTGCTTATATAATTGTAGTACATATTGTTATAATTTCTGGAGAAGACACGCAGATTTTTTTATAAAACAGTACTGATGAAGAGGCTAACGAGCAGATTAGGGTGTAATCAATCAGCGCAGCCCATGGACATTGGCAATACCAGAGAACACCCGAATACTCGAACGTCCCTCAAATACACCCGGCAATAGTGATTTTATCAGCTATTTCTTTAATAATTTATGTAATGAATTCATAGTCTTGTTCATATTTTACTAAGATATATAATAATAAAAATATTTTTTTTTAGTATCTACAACATTATAGAACAATTTTTTGCGATTCGAATGTCGTGTAGTGAAACGATATAGCCAATATTAGATATATATACAAGAAAAAAAGGATCGTGGATCCAATTATAGGACCGCCAAAAACATATTCATTTAGAGCTGATCAAGAAGTAAGTATATACAATGAAGCTTAATTCCTATTTATATATAACTGTAATCAGACCTATTACTATTAGCTTTTGATATATTTGCAGATATAATGATATTATTGGAAACGAAGAGACCAACGCCCATATAATTCAAAAAAGAGATGCTTGGGATACTGTGTGCCAGCAATATAATGCTGTAGCAGTACATGGCACACAGCAGCAACTCAGCAGTATGTGGCAGCTTTATGAAAATCTCTTAATTTCACATCAATAATGATTTGAAATTTCGTGCTAATGTGTGGAACTATAAAGTTCGAATGCATATAATTTTACGTCGATGTATCGTGCTGGACGATTTTCATCATATAAAAGAGAAGTGTGCGACGATAGATACATATTATTCACATAAATTTATAATTCCTCAAAGCAAATTTTATGCCCGACACACTTCAAAGCAAGAAATGATAGTACCGTAAGCTCCCCTGTAGGTACTTATTATACTCTTTGTCGACCATTTTTTTTTTTTTTTTTTTTTAAGGGGGGAAAATCATCGAATGACTACCTCCGCCTGGGTGAGGCGGGAGGGAGTGTCAGACTCTTACTGACTAAAAACCACCCCGTTCCTTCTCCTGCACGTCGAGCCGGAGCCCCGGTTACCCGTTAGGTTCTCCGCGACTCCGAATCGGCATCGGCCCTATTGGGCCCCATCTGTGGTGGTCTGATGGCTCTTTGAGGCGCGCGCGGAACGCGACGCGCCGTACGCTCGGGTCTGTTTCTGGTCGGACGGGGAGCCACCCATGCTCGCCGTCCGCAGGCCCGCGCCTTTGTCGACCATAGATTGAGATATACTTAAGATAAATATCGTTTCAGATTACAGTCAAGATTTAAAAAAAAAAAGGTCGCCCTTAAAGGTGTCTTGGAGGTTTCAACTGTGAAGGTTGTATTTTCAAAAAGTTGAAAGATATCGGATCAAAGATTAATCGTACTTGCCTACATGTGTAAATGCTTACATTCCGGGAGCAAAGAACACTAGCCACTAGTATTGTATTCACACCTGAGCAGTTGCTCACTCTTTATCAAGCACAAGTTCGGTCGTGTATGGAGTACTGCTCCCATCTTTGGGATGACCCGGCTAAATATCACCTAGAAGCCCTTAAATCCATCGAAGGGAGCGTCAAGAGGCATCAATCACGATTTGCTTGTGAAGGCTCGGCTTTGAAACATCGAATACAGGCGTAAAGTCGCAAGCCTTTCGGTCTTCTACATTTCAGTGAGTGTGCATGGGAATTACAGAACCTTATTCCGCCTAGTCCGTTTTACCATCGTAGCACCATACGAGCAGGGCGCCACCCTTACATGGCGGACATTCCACTCATTTGCACTGAGCGTTTCGCGTCAAACTTCCTTGTGCGAACGTCAAGCTAAGGAATGGAATTCTTTGCCAGAATCTGTGTTACCCGACAAAAATAGCTCGGGTGTCTTCAAGTCCCGAATGAATAGGTTGCTCATATTGCTCATGTAGGTAGGTGTGCTCCATCTTCGGCCACATCATCGTGTACCACCAAACCCACCTGGTGGCATACCAGTGCATATAAAAAATTATTTTATTAGAACCCTCTATGACTTTAAAAAAATATTGCTTTTACAACAAAATGCTCACATTTTACAGGTAATTAAATGGCCTCTTATACGGCATACGTTACCAAATAATAAAACAAATATATCAAGCAAATAATAATCAAGAAATGAAATAGAAAAATGCTAGCGCCTCTATTGCTTTGTTCCCAAGTGTAGGTAAATGTAGGTACCTAACTAACCTACCCATACAGAATCTGATGTGTGTACAGGGGCATAGTACAAGGTCCACACCGTTTGTTAGTTTTGTTCCAGGTTGATGTAAAGTAGAACGGAGCGCAGAGTTTCATGTTTACTATTAATTGAAAGTTTTGAAATTGAAAAAGTTTGCACACCCTGTATATCGGAGCCTGATCGCTAGTGCACTTAACACGTATATACGTGTAAGCATAAAATAAAAAAATAAAGTGCAGAGGATTCGAAATGTATAAAACGTTTTTTTCAGTTCAAATAATTCTTGACGGACTGTAATTCGGTACTTACGTACTTACCAACAAGTCAAATTCACTACTTGTTTCGAACTGTCACACTGTAGCGTGCTGTTGGACTTTAAAAAAACATGACGTCATAATACACAATCTCGTACAAAATTCATAGAAAGTATTGAATTTGACTAATTGGCAAGTACCCAATTATATAATTATTACGAACTTAACTTATTATTGTGTAAGCGAGGGGGATAGTGCTGCAGCAACCATTTCATAAATAAAAACCTCTTTAGATAATATTTTAATGAAAGCTCCGACATCATATATCTTATAAATTTTTGCTCTCGCATCACTATCTTTATCTTCTGTTCTTTTTGCATTCCACCAGCAAATGTTGGATGTCTTCAATTTTATTACACACTTACCAATTAGGTGAATTGACTATTTTCATTAACGATCCAAAGGAATATGACCAGAACGCAATATATGTGCCATAACAACATATTCTTATATATCTTACTTACTTCTTGATTCCATAGAATCAACAAGATATCTACTGACACACAGTAGGTACTACAATATACATTAGTAGGCCTTCCGCGACTCTGTATCGGGCGTCAGCCTGGGCCCCATCTTTAGTGGTCTGATGATGATCTTTGAGGTAAGCGCGGAACGCGACCCGCCGTGCGCTGCCAGTGGCTTGGAATATGTTTTCATGACAAATAGTACTTAAATCAATCTTTCATAACGCAAATACTTGTAGATCTCTTCATCAGTAGTATTGTATAACTACATAATTATGTATGTACAAACTTTTACATTTATAATATTACCTAGAAAATAAGAAAGAGTACCTACATACATATTGATATCACATTTCAAAACAATGAAAATAAGTTAATCTCTTACACGCGGTGTACACAAAAATAAAACAGGAGTACCTGT